ATTGGATACAACACGACTTCCATTTTCTATAGAATCACAATACCATTTTCCTTTCCATTCCTACTAAGGCCACATAAAGTAAAAGAATAATTACGAAGAAAATGAAATATATGAAACACAATTCATCTCAATTTTGAGCGAAACATTCATCAAGATCATAAATTCTATTTGCGATTGCTACCTGTATCAATTTATGTCAGCCTAGTAAATGAAGATTTAATTTAAAATTAAATTGAAGACAAGGATAATTGGTTGTTTATTTAGAGTAAATAAAAATGATAAATATTATCGTACCTGTGCATCTCCCGCGCGTTGCTGCCGTCCTGGTACGCGTGTTAGCGATCGCACGGTCGGGGGCACACTGTCGCCTGTTGGTTAGTTAGGGGTTGTCTAGGTGAATATAGAGCTGTTAATACCATCACTGTTTATTATAAACCGAAACTAATTAAATCGATTACAAGAGAGACGACGCTTCGCTATGTGTCTTGTTGTTCGCTATTAATAAAACGAAAAAAAAGAAAAAAATAGTTCTAAAATCAGAAATTCTGAATAATATTACTTAATCCCGTATTAATTGTTGGTTTCTGCACACGTTACACACAAAATGTAAAGTCTATGTTATTCCAAAGTATAATCTATATCCGTGTCAATTCCCATCAAAATCCATTCAGTGGTTTTTATGTGAAAGAGTAAAAAACATACATCGTGAAAACCAATTTTCGATTTTATAACTTTAGTCGAATACTGTCTTTCTAGTCAGGAATCCTTTTAAAGCATACTTTAAAATATGTTTGAAACAGTAAAACAAAGATTTTGAACAGAAAAGAGCAAGATATAGTAATCTAGATATAGATTATACTCTGGAATAACATTGGCTTAACTTTTTGTCCGGGTAGCGTGTGTAGAATTGTCAAATTCCATCAAAATCCCTTCAGTTGTTTTTATATGAAGGAGGAATGTGTGTATGTTAATTAAAACATACATCGTCTCACAACTTTCGATTGTAAGAATACTAGCTTTTGCCCGCGACTTCGTCCGCCTGGAATAGTGTCTTCCTGCAGATTTTTGGTATAAAAACTATTCTATGTCCTTTCTCGTTGTACCAAAATTCACAGAAATAGGTTCAGTAGTTTAGGCGTGAAAAAAAGACAGAGAGACCGAGGTACTTTCGCATTTTAAATTTTAGTTTGGATAGTCATTCATCATAGTCATCATCTTCTTAATCAGGAATCCTTTTAAATGATAACAAAAAAGATTTAGTGTCAAATATGTTTACAACAGTAAAACAAAGATTTTGAATAAAATTATAGAGCAGAGTAAAAAAATATACAACTCAACCAACTCAGCGACACAAACCACTCTATATATTTCTCGCTGTTTCCCGCGGTGGGCGGGAGCGACTGACTTGCCGCCCAGCAACAGTTTGCGTGGGGTTGCCACTCTGAACTGACTAACTACGTCAAATATTCATTCATTTTTAACACTTCACTGAAGTCTTTAAGTAGGCTACTAACTTACTTAGTATATCATAAAATGTATGTGTGTATACGAGGGTTAAGTGCAAAAGGGAATATGATTTTAAAATCTGTAAAAACTTTATTCTTTTTATTTGGTTAACGGCTTTATTGTTTTAAAAGACATGTAAAAAGGTCGTATTTAAACAATTTAGAAAAGACTAAGGAAGTTTTTCGCTATTTCTTATTAAGTAGGCTCGATTTAAATTTGAGATGATATAAGTACTGTCATTAAAATAGATAAAAAATGATTTAATTTCAATTAATATCGTTCTAATAGATCTTGTTTTTTAATTCATAAATACAATCATTTTCATTGCGTATCATAAAACATTTAATTTTATATTTTATACTTCAACAGAGTAAAAATAATACCAATTCTTAGAAAAGGTTCAATACCAAAATGAGCGCTCAACCCTCTAGGGACATTTTTCCCAATAAATAAGGAATATTTTTGTTAACAACAACCCAAATATTCGAAGCAAAGGCTCCCTATTATCCGTCCAATATAAATTGTCACTCACACTTACACAATTACCTCACAGTGAGGGACGACCCATCTTCGTCGAGTTACGTTGGATGCTGTGAAAACAAAAACACATTTACATTCAAACTGAAGCAATTTAGACTTTAAACCGAGTGGTATAAAGGTGTTGTGGATTGTTATTTAAAGAATGGTCGGTTCGTGAGTGACCCATATTGGTTTAATCGTTTGTTTTATAAACTTATATGATTGACGACATCAATTGACTTTTTTTAAATTGCTTTCTCTACTACGTCTACTGTGACACTGACGTGTCAATGGTCATTTCTTTGCGACATTTTTTTTTGGAGGATAGCACTTTCGGTGACTTTGGTATACCTGCGAACTTAAGGACTGGTTCCTTGGTATGTCAAGAGTAGTTCTTTGCAAACGAGCAAACGGATTACGTGATGGTAAGCCATCAGCGTCGCCCATGGACACCCGCAACATATCAAGAGATACGAGTACGTTGCGGACATTTTGGGGATTTAGAGATTAGGAAGGGATTGGGGGAGGAGAAGGATTGGAACTTCGGTCACCCACTCATGCGGCGAAATGAACCTGTAGTTGTTTCACTTCGGTTTTCCGTAAGGGCGTGGTATCACTCCGGTCGAGGCGACCCATTCGTGCCGAAGCATGGCTGTCCCGTACTTACAGAATAAATGTACTTACAGTATAGGTCTACTTATATGAACGAGAGGGAAAGGGTGCTTAAATTAGCAAATCTATGCAACCAACAGTAGTTATACAAAAAGTCCCTCACTCTTGCATTTTCTATTCAAAAACTCCTTTGTCGGTAGATTGGTCACAAGTGCGAGGTATCTTTGCCAAATAGCAAAAAAAAACGTCGAACAAAAACCTGCTGTATTGCCTTTCCAATTTCAAACGTAAACTCTGGCCTCAATATTTCGGCAACCAATAAACGTGGTTTTATGTTCGCATGTATGTATGTAGGTATTTTCTTCTCGTCGTGTTGACCCGCAGGTTAAGGCGCCCGCATCTCAAGAGTGCGGGCTCGAAACCTGACAAGTACCAATGTGACTATTTCCAAGTTATCTGTACTTTCTAAGATTATTTAGACACCACTGACATACGTTTGACTGTACGATGGCGCGGTGACTAGGCAACTGGCTGCCACGCAACGTGTTGTGGGTTCAAGCCCCACACAGTACAACTCTTCGTGTGATCCAAGCATTCTTGTTTTGTGGGTGTAATGTGCATGTGAAATTGTATGTTTGTAAACGCACCGAGACACAGGAGAAAACCCTAGCGTGGGGCAACGTTTTTTATAAAATAATAAAGAAAAATAAAAGAATAAAGAATAAAGGAAACCCTGACTTGAATAATTTCAAATTATAAATTCGAAATCACCCATCCACCTTGAGTACACGTAGCGACTCAAGGTACTGCTGAGCAAGAACCCTTTGCTCAGCAGTGGCCACTTATAGGCCGATGATGTGTGTGTATGTGTTCTCTTCTATTCTTAGTTCCTACAACAGTATTTAACTTTTATTTCATTAACTCAGTACCTTTTAGGCAGTTATTGGGTAAAGGAAAATGAATCATTTGATATAAACACAAATAGGTATAAATTTGTTTGACAACGTAAAATGATTTTATTTATTTTAGACGTAAAGGAATATACATATATAGGATACTGTGTTTATATACTCATTATAATAATTTATTAATAAAACATGGTTCTATCATTTATTCTCACACAAATTGCGGCTATCTAAATGTTAAGCTGTCAGAGCACTTCTTCGAAAGTACTGAACAAATTTTCCTGCAGTTTTCATACTGGGATAAAGTTTGTTTCCAAACACAATGCTTACTCGGCTATTTGATAGTTTAAAATAAATAAATTATACTACTGTACTACTTCTGAGTTAAAAGGCATTTAAGATAAAAGTTTCTAACAGAGAGTAAACAGATAAATACAGCTAAATTTTCTAACTTTAGTCTAAGGTTGTTCATCCTAGTATTACAGACTTTTTTCTTCCCAATTTTTTTTTTAATTTCTTTTAGTATGTATGTAAAAGGCTTGAAGTAATCAGATTTACAGTTGAATAATCTTTATCTTTATCTGTATCTTTTTATATAAAAATCGATCGCAAAAGGTGTTGGTAAGCGCATAACTCAACAACGCCTGGACCAATTTTGCTAATTTTTTTTTTTGTTGTGTTTGTTATTGTCAGGAGAAGGTTCTTATCAAAGAAAATATAAGAAACGTAAAGGGGAAGATTAGGAAAAAATTACCCTTTGATAGCGACATAGTTGGACCCGTGCGAAGCGGGGCCGGGCCGCTAGTTAAAAATATAAGAAATTCTTATAGGGCGGCAAACGGGCTGACGCTGTTGGATGACCTGGTGGTAAACAATCAGCGCCTAAGGAATCCTTCCCCTCCCATGGGAGTACGCGGTAACTCTCATTTGCTCGGCTTAAAACAACGCCAAGGTTGTTCCACGCCGTCGTATTACTCTGGTCGAGTCCACCCATACGTGTCGAAGCATGGCACTCTCACACTCATATACTTTCCGTATATGAGAAGAATACATAGATAAGGGCTAACTTATCAATAGTCAGATAAATGTTATCTGAGGAATAAAATTGTAGCTGTCACTGTCTTATACAAACATTCTGACGCGACAGCATCATAATTATTTCACAGATAACTTTTATCTAACCATTGAAAAACCAGCCCTAAACAAATTTAAATTTAAGGTTGCTACGTCACTAATCAGTACCTACCTTTTTTTTTATTTAAAAAATGGAATGGAATGGAAAGTCCTTATGGAGCCCCTTCGTCTCGCCAGGCGAAGGGGCTCCATGACTATGACATGACTGTCAGACTTTTACTAACTAAAAACCACCTTGTTGTCCCGTCTTTCACGTGGGCGTGAGGGCGCGGAAATCAAAATTCATCCGCAGCCCCACTCGGCGGCGTATAGGCCCACCTCAAGATGCTCAGGGAAGCGAGGTATGATTCTCCCCCGTGACTCGCCTCGAGGCGCGCGTGGACACAACGCGCGCCTCCGTCTCGGGTCCTATTTAACAGGACGATGGAGTCTCCCCCAAGTCCTCCATCCCCGTACCCACCTAGGGGGGTCGGAAGAGAGCAGTTTCTGCCCTCCTCCTACGCCTAGAGCATCTGCTGCGGGTGGGAAGAGGATTTGTGATTTCACTAATCAGTACCTTACCTATAAAATGTACGAAGTCAGATACGACATCTGGATAAAATATCGACGAAAGTATTTGATTCCGTAAGAAAAAAACAGTAGAATTAATCTGAACGACGGAATAAGAATTATCCATAATCCCTTTTCTGTTCTACTATTGTGATGTTTGAAATTGAAAATCCCAATATCTAATGATTTTGTACCATTGGGATTGGACCGGATATTTTGTTCACAGTTTCAATTGTTTGAAGGTTTTTTGACAATAAGAAGTTAAAAATAAACATGGCACGTATATTTTTTACAATTTTTTTTGCTTGCTTGCTGCCAGAAAGTAACATTTATATAAAGAAACACAATTTCAATATATTATTATACAAAATGTTTTTGGTTTTTTTTTTATAATTGGTCGGCAAACTACTACCTACTATATTGAGTGCGTTGCCGACCTTTTAGGGATAAGGGATTTGAAGATTTAGGGATCAAGGGAAGGGAAGGATTGGGCCTCCTGTAACCTCACTCATACGGCGAAACACAACGCTGTGGTTATTTCACGCCGGTTTTCTGTGAGGCCGTGGTATCACTCCGGTCGAGCCGATCCATTCGTGCCGAAGAATGGCTCTCCCACACTTTAATCTTATTCTGTTCTTAATTTAAACTTGCAACACCGGTTGAGCCACCCTGTTTTAAATAAAACTGGTATGAAGCTACGCTTGCGTTGTGTTTCGTTTTGTGATTGACGTTTCTGGAGGCCCAATATTTCGCCTCCCCAAATCCCCAAAATATTTAAATTTATAATAATAATTTAAATAGGAACTAAAACTATTCAATCAAGCTGTTATTAGTAAGTACTTGCGATATATGTAGTGCATACTAAAAATAATAACCAATCTTAAGAGACCAGGGCAGCAGAAAAATATAAAAGGTTTACAAAAAACGACAAGAAACCGCAAAATGACGAATATAAACAATAGTTGTTATTTTATTATCATGCATTTTAATGTAAGACCAGCAACAATAATATCATAAATGTTTGACAGTAATAAAACATACAGAAAACAGAGTTACAAAACTTAGAAATTTAAGTATTAAGTCTGCAAAATTATCTGCACAGTTGCTATGTCCACAGCACAGGTGACAGACGAGCCAGTCCAAACTTCTTTCCTCGGCCAAATGTACTAGGATACTATCAGAGTGTAGGAGTAAATAGTCTTGAATTGGTTTCCAAAAGTAGAACAGGAATCCTTCGAGTATTATTACTGATATGGGTATCTGCAATAAAAATAATTATTATAACAACATAACAGCCATCTCGACCGGAGTGATTTCACGGCCTCACAGAAAACCGTCGTGAAACAACCACAGCGTTTGTTTTGCCGTTCGAATGAGATAACCGGAGGCCCAATCCTTTCTTTCCCTCCATCCCTCCCCAATCCCTAAATCTCTGATATCCTAAACCCGAAAGGTCTTTGACACATTTGTTACTCCTCTGGTGTTATGGCTGTCCATGGGCGGCGCCTATTTTTATCATCAGGTTATACATATGTCTGCTCGTTAGCCGCCCTATCACATAAATAATTAGAATAAACATCACATGATTTTCTCGCCTTCGGGAGGGTGAGAGGAAGAGTCAGAATCTTACTGACTAAAAACCACTTCGTTCCTTTAACCTTTCCGGACCAGGGCCACGTTACATAATTTCGCTTGCACTCGCAATCTTGGCTGAACATCAGCTCTACGAATATTAGGCCTCATCTGTCCGGCCCAACCCACAAGATTCCGGAAAAAAACACTCACACGTACTCACCATCAGGTAATCCGTCAGCTCGTTTAGCGACCTATGACATAAAAAAAATTGATGTGGTGGCGTTTGAAGAACGCTCGGCTCTGGATCTGGTCAGACAATGAGCTACTCTTGCTTACCGTCTACAAAGTATTGTTGCAATGTTGCTGCACATTCATATGAAAATTACCAATATAACAACTAACCTCTGCTATCAAACACGGAATGGGCCATCTCTTAGTTATAATACAAGGGATCAAGCTGATCTTCCGGAGAAGAAGGCAAACGCTCAATAGATAGACTAAGCTCGAAGTGAAGTGTTTATTTCTAAGTAGACTGGCTGTAAAAGAAAATGATGTCATTAAAATTTCTTAGTAAACTAATTAAATATAAGAGTCTTCAAGTGCTCTAGTTAAGCGAAGGTCTCTTATCACACGGAGAAGATTTGAGCATTTGAGCAATCTCCACGCTTGCTCGATGCGGATCGGCGCTTTTAAACTTATAATTAGAAATTTTGTGTCCAAGTTTCCTTACGATGTTTACAGTTTGTCAGTGGTGTCTAAATATACTTGAAGCACATTTAACTTTAAAAAAGTTACATTGGTACTTGACCGACACATGCTTAAAACGTAAACCTTAACCTCCGGGCTACCAAGACTTTTTTCATTGTTTACTACAAGGTGGTCGATCCGCTTAATTGGATCTCTACTCTATAAATGAAATCAAAAACACAGGCACGCTTGACTTTAAAAAAAATAGATGTTGCATGTAGCACAGGCGAAAATGCTAAGATCGAAGTGTGCCATACAAAATCTTACAAATCATGTCAGGGCGGCTACAAGATGGAAGAATGTGAATAAACATTTGTAGATACATAGTAAGCTCAGAATACAGAACAAATATTAAGAAAGGATAAATACATCGCACTTTTAAAAAATTAATTTGAAAAATAAACCATTTATCCACACAACCATTAAACCACATACAGGTACTTTTGAATCATCAAAATATAATAATAGTCCGTCAGTATCTTCGTCAGGGAAGCTCCAAATTGTAGATTCGCATGAAAATGAACAAGCAAAAATTCCATAGTTAATCTTTAAAAATAGTATGTTTTACAAGCTTACAAATACATTATTTAATGCACATTACTGTACACATATTTGAAAACTGAGCAAAGAGCAAATTAGTAAATAGATATATTAATATATACTTACAATCATTTAGAAAATGTATATCATTAATAAGAAATGAAAACGCTACCACCAAGGCAACACTGTGGGTCATAGAATTGAAAATTATTCTACCAAATTAATCATTTAAAACATTGTAAACAAAAATGTTTGACAATGGATATTTATGACATATTTACTTCATAAATAGTTATGGTGTAAACAGTTTGGTTTTTCAAGGTATTTTAAAATATTTTTATATAACCTTTTTTCTGTTTTACAACGCGCAAAGTGATACCACTTGCAGTTTATGCTCAGTCTTATTCATACGACAATGTTGCATGCTAACCCAACCACTGCATAGATTGTGAAGTCAGAATGGCGATACTGCGAGCTCTTGTTACCGCTCTAAGCACAGGACTTGGTGCGAGACAAATTGGAAAGCCGTCTCCTCTTTCTGCGAATCAATCACGCTCGCAAAGAAGGACGCGGATCGCGTAAAGGAACTATCCTCCACAGCCACTTAAGGACACGCCCTGTTCTTCGAAAATCACGAGTCACCCACCTAGCCACCGTTTTTTTTGTGAGGGGAAAATCATCAAATGACTTCTCCCGCCCAGGGTCGGGCGGGAGGGAGTGTCAGACTATTACCAAGGTAATAATATCTACAAGTATTTCAACTTCATAGAAACGGCCGAAACGCGAACTATACCTACGCGCCCAATGTCGGGACGCGCTCGGGACGCAGACAGACGCGGCTGTACCGCAGTGACGAACGGACGGTTTGTTGTCTTTTATTTAGAAATCAGCTCGAGTACATTATTTAATATGACGAATAGGAAATATTGTGCTGTTATTATGTTTGGTTGCATGAATTCGTCAATAACGCATCCAGACATAAGTTTTTTTTAAATTACCTGGAAACTCTGAAAGGTAAGACTATAAAATAATTTTACTTACTAGTAGCCTAGGTAGGTACATAATGTGTGTCTTTATGGATCATTATTTCCAGTTATCTCACGAAAACAGATGTTTGAATTTATAAATAATATGAATAAAGTTATTGAGACGAGTGAAATAGGTAGTTATAGGCGGTTCTGGTTCTGAATGAATCATGATACGTTAGGTACCTACCTACTTACGCTTGTGTTAAAACGGTTCATGTATGTTTTGTTATTTTGTATAATTCAAAGTAGAGAGTGTGGTATTTTATTATTAATAATATTTGTTTATTATCTGCGTTTATGAATAATACTAGAAAATATTTAATTACAACAATAAAACAGCTAGACTCATGTAATATTTTGATGTTTGAGGGTTGTGATTTTAGAACATTCGTAGTCAGCTGTTCAGTTCGGCATTAGTGGCCAAAGAAATTTTGTTTGTTTATTTTTAAAGCACTTTATTTGTTTATATAAAAAAAAGGATATTTACAATCACAAAACTAAATGGAAACAGAAAGTAGACAAAGGTAATTAAAATACTGGAGACGAGCAGCCCTAACGCATGTTTACGTACCGCGCGGCTGTAGGTATTTATTTCTTTCAAGCGGCCGAGTTACAATACTGTATGATATTTATACTGTGACAACGTTGTGTCAAGGTAATAATATCTACAAGTATTTCAACTTCATAGAAACGGCCGAAACGCGAACTATACCTACGCGCCCGATGTCGGGACGCGCTCGGGACGCAGGCAGACGCGGCTGTACCGCAGTGACGAACGGACGGTGTGTTGTCTTTTATTTAGAAATCAGCTCGAGTACATTATTTAATATGACGAATAGAAAATATTGTGCTATTATTATGTTTGGTTGCATGAATTCGACAATAACGCATCCAGACATAAGTTTTTTTTAAATTACCTGGAAACTCTGAAAGGTAAGACTATAAAATAATTTTACTTACTAGTAGCCTAGGTAGGTACATAATGTGTGTCTTTATGGATCATTATTTCCAGTTATCTCACGAAAACAGATGTTTGAATTTATAAATAATATGAATAAAGTTATTGAGACGAGTGAAATAGGTAGTTATAGGCGGTTCTGGTTCAGAATGAATCATGATACGTTAGGTACCTACCTACTTACGCTTGTGTTAAAACGGTTCATGTATGTTTTGTTATTTTGTATAATTCAAAGTAGAGAGTGTGGTATTTTATTATTAATAATATTTGTTTATTATCTGCGTTTATGAATAATACTAGAAAATATTTAATTACAACAATAAAACAGCTAGACTCATGTAATATTTTGATGTTTGAGGGTTGTGATTTTAGAACATTCGTAGTCAGCTGTTCAGTTCGGCATTAGTGGCCAAAGAAATTTTGTTTGTTTATTTTTAAAGCACTTTATTTGTTTATATAAAAAAAGGATATTTACAATCACAAAACTAAATGGAAACAGAAAGTAGACAAAGGTAATTAAAATACTGGAGACGAGCAGCCCTAACGCATGTTTACGTACCGCGCGGCTGTAGGTATTTATTTCTTTCAAGCGGCCGAGTTAAAATACTGTATGATATTTATACTGTGCTATTACTGACTAAAAACCCCCCTGTTCGTTCTCTTGCTCTGTGCCGAGGTCGCGGTGCCTCATTGCGTTTACCCCGCAACCCCGGCTGAACATCAGCCCTTTAGGGCCCCGTCTGTGGTGGTCTATTGGCTCTTTGAGGCGCGTGGAACGCTACGCGCCGCACACTCGGGCCTGGTTCTGGTCGGGCGGCGAGCTGCCCTTACTCGCCGACCGCAGGCCCGTGCTTACGGTGGCCGGAGATCGTCCCTTGACCTAGCCACCGTAAGCGCGGGTTTGTAGATGGACCGACCTGTAAGGTTGTCTGGCGAGCAAGGGTCGCTCGCTGTCCAAAGCACGCGGCTAAGGCAGCAGCAATGTGCAGCTAGGGTTTCGAGAGGATGATTTTCCTACCCATAAAAAAAGAGTCACCATACTTACTTTGAATATAAAAAATCCATGTACATGTACTTGTACTGGGAAATCATAAAGCAGATGGTAGCATATGTCATTGTATAAACTTTTATGATTGTCTTTCTTTTTATAGAAGCATGTGAAGTTTACTGACGAATTGTTATGAAGTCAGTTTACTCAAATTTGATTTTTAATTCAATATTTTTTCGTTCGATTTTCGTTATGAGTTTTATAGTGGAACTTTGAACTAGTATGGCGCAGGGCTCAATCATAATTAAAATAATCAGTATGAATCGTTGAAGAAAACCTTGAAGTCTTTATTTGCGATTAAAAAATAATTTCAACCAGAATTTAATACGCTTTTTTTGCATTCTATCCTCTTTCAGGCTGGGGTCTCGAATCTTCACGTGCAGACACCTAACTACTTACTTACTTACATAAATATGTACGACATACGTCCATAACATATCACGTAAATCAATAACTCTTCTAACTCCTACACGCCTGGTACAAAAATAGTATCGACATGAAAATAAATTAACTATTGTTATTGATTTTGGGCGAATGGACCGTCCGTCTCGCGTCGCTTGGCGTCCAAAATACTTACAAACTTCCTGTAATTAGTTAATTATTTAGAAGTTTCTGTGTTATTAACACATACAATGCTATTTTGGAAGACCTTTAAACATTGTTGTGATTTTGTGATTCAGTGACTCGAAAACTAAACTTTTACTACTAAATCTTTTACTTTTTTGTTTTTATGGGATCGACAGGTCGACGATCTTATAGACAGATCACCTGAGGATAAGCTATCGACCCTGTCCAAGGACACCAAAGGAGTATGAATTACCGCGCTATTGTGGGTTGTTTTGGTTTTGAGGATAGGGGTGATTGGGATTGAAGGTGGAGGATGAGGAAAGATTGGGCATCCGTTAACTTCACTCACGTGGCAAAACACCACAATTATTCTTTAACGCCGGTTTTCTAAGGCCCTGATATCACTTCGATCGAGTCGGCCCATGCGCGCCAAATCATCTTCTTCTACTTAAAGCGTACTTAAAAAAACTAATCCTCTACTTAAAGTATACTGCATACTTACTTATTTGGCGAAAGAATAATTATTTAAAAGTCGTTTTCAATAATAAATAAAGAACAAAAAATAAATATCGTCTAAAGACAATTGCAAACGCCAATTTTATTTTGACTCAACGTGCTAAGTGCACAACCCTTTAAAATAATATAAAGTACGTAACAACCGTTTATATGTATGTTTTAGCGAAAATCATGATTTACCGTATTTCATTTTATTGTTTTTTTATTTAACTACATTTATATTTTATTGGCAGTTTTATGAATTTCCATTTCTAAGTTAAGAGAGTGTATGTATTTTACCAATATTTATGAACGTAGGTAGCTCTGAACACGGATTTTTAGTACAATATTTTGCCAATCTTCCAAGTATTAAAAAGTTGAAAAATGTTAAGAAATCTGTCTGTATAGCTGTAAAAATACTGAATTATGCGAAATTCTAAAATACACTGACCGACCACTTAATTAGCTCAAAAATTTCATCCGTCTTTACGACGCAGTCATAAAATAGAAACATAAAAAATGTTATCGAAGTGCACAGAAACTCATTACTGAAGAAAATCAGAAACTTGGAATAAATATTGAAGATGAAACAAAAATGGTTATACATATTAACGTAGGTGTAATTAAAACTGTTATTATTACAATAGTTGTGAACAATGTTATTAGTGTAGCAGCTACAGATGTTTTAGCAGACGACGGTAATTTATTTCGCAAAGATAATAAGTCTCAAGATGATCACAAAGAATACAATAATCAACAACCGAAATTTAGAGTACAAGAAGCTGTTATAAGACAAAGGGATGATTTTGACAATGATGAAGATATTAAAGCTTTGCTAGAAGAAAAGTATAAGTTCAAAAATGATGAGACCTCTACGAGGTTTAAGGTGACAAAGGAAGAGAGAGGGGAATTTCCAGGTATGTGAAATATTTAAAAATTAAATTAGGAAATATAAAAACACTTTCGGTAGTATATGTAGTGCTAGGATAGCTAATGTCTTCTCTAAGCCGTAGAATAAAACAATACAAACGAATTTCGAGATTTTTTTATAGACATTTAGTTAACATTAATCAACTGATTTCTATTTCTGATATTTATTTAATATTTTTTTATATTCCTATCAAATAGTATTTATTATATTTTACCGATTTTACTCACGTGTCTGTTTCGAGTTAACCCGACCAGTTTCAAACTCGAACAGATCCCTATCCCTATTCGTGAGCTCATCATGAGGCGAGGGAGTGAGTCTAATTCCAAATAACCATGTGATTAATCCTTTAAATATTATTGTAGTTTATCAAAAGGAACTACATACACACCTTGAATAAATTTCATTTAATAATTAGATTTTTGTTTCCTGCTATCCTAGTATTTCATTCCGAGTGACTCAGTTATTAAATTGGAATTGCCCAAAAAATGTGTTTGACCACGTCTTATCAGTGATAACTTTCTTTTTAATTGTATAGGAGCCCTAATAATAACCTGTTGACGTTTATGTTTTCCTAGTATTTCCTGAGAATCACGATGAACGTCAAATAGCGTGGGCATTCCGATCGTATGCCGTGCGGCGCATTGTGGGAGGGATGGAGAGTAGCATCAGTATGTACCCTTACAACGTGGCCATATCCAGGAATGCTAAGCACTGGTGTGGAGGATCCATCATTGATGAGCAATGGGTGCTTACTGCTGGGCACTGCTTCGAATCGTGAGTGATATACAAAACCTTTTTTTTATGTTACACGACTTTTAATGAACAGACCTGATGGTAAGCAACACTGAAGCGTTACGAGTCACCATGTTACCGATGCCAACCTTTTGGGGATTAGAGATTTGGAGATTTAGGGGGAGGGAAAAGATTGGGACTCCGGTAAAGTTTATTCTACCGATGACGTTAGTTAGTGTAGTAGTAGTCACTTTTTTGGGTAAAGGCAGTTTTTTTTGTCAGGAGAAAATAATTAAATAACTTGGGAGTGTCAGATTTTTACTGACTAAAAAACCTGCCTTTCCTTCTCCTGCTTTAGGCCGAGGCCGCGGTGCCTCATAGCGCTTACCACGCAACCTCGGCTGAGGGTAAAGGCAGGTTAGGCCTCCGATAATCTCACTCACACAGCGAAACCTAACACGAGTGGTTTCATGCCGGGTTTTTTGAGGCAGCCTTTTCATACCTGGCTCTTTCGACGTGAGCAAAGTTTGGGAGGGTGTTTTGTGATTGAAATTAGCTGTGAACCAATACCTGACAATACAAGAGAACACGTGATGTTATGAATTGTAGTCGCACGTGACCTTGTATAACGTCTATAAACACGTGACTGCAGATTGGCCATTACCACAAATAGCAAGAATTAAAGATCTAAAACTTCACCTATTTCAGTGGGCATTTAAGTAACCATTGTAATTAGCTATTGACACTTAAAAATGTTAAATGATTTTCTAATAATTATCCTCTTAACAATTCTAATACCACGGCCTCGGTGTGAAACAAACACAGCATAGTGTTTTGCCGTTTCAATGAGGTTACCGGAGGCCCAATCTCTTCCCTCTTCCAATCCCTCCCCAATCTCTAAATGCCTAAAATCCAAATTAATAAAAGTTCTGCAACGCACTCGTAACTCTTTCGTTGTTTCGGGTGTCCATGGGCGGTGCTGGTTGCTTACCATCAGGTAATCCGTCTGCCCGTATGCCGTCTATTAACAAAAAAAAAAAAAAAATGTGGAATGTAAAACTACAAAAGTGCGGCAGAGTCAGGGTTTCAGCACAAATGGGCCGGTTCGAATGGAGTAGTATTACCAGGGCTACATAGAAAACCAGAGTGAAAAAGCTGGTATGGTATTTATTCGTATAAGTAAAGTAACTGGTAACCCAACTTTTTCAACAGCAAGTTTCAGTTTCAAGTCCTCAAACGCATTTAAAAAACACAGAGGAGTCTGTGTACCATTATGTGGTTAGATCATTATGATCCGTCGCTTTCTTGCCACTTTATCGTACAAATTTTAGCAAAATAATGCTTCAGTTTTAATGTGATCAATGTGTAAGTGATGGTAGGTATAAATGCTAGTGAATTTTCTAAGCAGGTGTTTCTAATGTTTTTTACAGAGCTTTTGATGGTGACAAGAAGAAACTGCAGCCGTTTATCATCAGAGCAGGGAGCTCCTTCCACAACCGAGGTGGATATCAAGCACGAGTCAATAAGGTAAACTTGGTTACTGTAAGAAGTCCTTTAGCTGGCCCTACAGCTGCACGCCGGGTTTTTTTTCTTTGGGATGGGTCAGCAAACGAGCAGATAAATTTTCTGTTGTTAAACCATCGGTGCCGCATATGGACGGTCGTCGCAACACCAGGGTTTCGGATATTTAAGGACTAGGAACGCATAAGGCGGGGGAGGGATTGGGCCATGTTTCGGTGGTACGAATAGGCAGATTTCTCTATAGCGATACCACGGCCTCACAGAATACCGATGTGAAACAGCCACAGCGTTTTACTTCGCCGTGTGAGTCAGGTATAAAAAAACACCATCAATCGTGATTCTGACTGCTGACTTCTTGACCCAGTGAAACTTGACGTTCAAAAGTGCCTACTGTGCTCTAATTGAAATAAATGATTATGACTTTGACATACGGTAAAAAAAAATCATCATGGAAAACCTTGGACTGACACTAGACAGACCAAGTATGGTGATTAATGCTTATTTATTTAATTGTTTGATCCACCAATTGTTGTAACGATATAATTATAATTGAGAGTGGTCTTAAATTATAATAAATTTTAAGGGCAAACAGCATGCATTAGCTTACGAGGGTTCATAGATAAGACAATATTGAATTAACTAACCTCCGGCCGTTGCTCAGCAGTGATTGTTTATAAGCTGATGATGATGATGATTATCACAAAATCCTTAACTTCCAGGTTTTCTTTCCTCATGATTACGTGCCGGGTAGCGCAGACTATGACTACGCGCTTCTTCGCCTGGACCGGCCCATGCCTATAGGACGGAATATTGCTGTACTTAACCTGCCCTCCAAGGACTACCTGATGAAGGAGAGCGACATCCTCATCGTCACAGGTTGGGGGAGCACAGATGTGAGTTACGGGTTGCCTTCGCCGTCCTATGTTTTTATACTGGATATTATTTTGATTCAAGGACCCGATTCATGTGCTAAAATAAAACAACATTTCCATAAGACTAATATAAAAATCTCAAATAACAATTTTTACTTCTCCATGCAAAATGATCAATCAGATGTTGCGATTTTTGTAGGGAAATAATATTTTTTTTGAGTTTTCTATATTGGTGTCATAGAAAAATTTCTAGTAATTGAGTATTAAAATCGGCTCCTTGAATATCGTTCAAAACAACATCCTGTATAGTTAAAGCATGATTCAAAATGGCTGAATAGCCATTTGTAAATAGTAATTTTGGTGGACTTTTTTTTTGTTTCCATTGACCTACACTACGATTTTCTCTGTCTTGTCTCTCATACAATGTCACATTCACGTCACACCCTGACCCGGGACAACAATTTGCAGATCACATATAGTTGCTCCAATGATTCTCATAAAATTTTGTATTAGGTACGTAGTTGTCAGGAGCGATAAATCGATCTAGATAGGATTGATTTCTCCCACACTTATCTTTTCTTTCTGTTATCCAGCCTTTTTATCTTCATCCTAGCTTTCTTTTATCGAAAACTCATTAAAGACATTTTATTAAACCCTTTTTAGTACTCACTAATTGTGGTGTACAAATAGTTTCCACATACGATTTCTAAAACGCTGTTCTAGCAAGATTAGTATAGTTAAACTACAAATTGATTTTGTTTATTTTCCGTATAGGAATCCGGTTACGGTCACATTCCGGACCGCATACGGTTCGTCCCTGTGCCGGTGATGCGACTGGAGGACTGTCAGAAATCGTACCGGTTCTACATAACGCCGCGAATGCTGTGCGCTGGATACGCCACCGGAGGGAAAGATGCTTGCAATGTGAGTGTTTGATTTATGGAATAGTATTGTTGATCAAGAAAAACTAAAAGTTTTTTTTATAAATTGCGTTTATAAACATACAATTTGAAATACCCATAACACAATTTGTGGATCACACAAAGTGTTGTTCCTTGCCGGAATCGAAATCGCGACACGTTACGCGACAGCCAGTTGCCCGGCCACCCGCTTCAACCGTACAGTCTATAATATGTATATTTAGACAACATAATAAATCAAGTAGTTTCCAACCAGTTTTGTTAAATCATTACAACCAACTAATTTTGTTAAATTGTTAAAAACTAGAGTTTAAAAAAAAATACGAAATCGCAGAATATGACCTCATAACTGTTTTCTGTAGGGTATCATTATTATTTGTGATAAATCATCTAAAAAAATCCGAAATGTAGTATAAACATCAACAAATGAAAGTATGATTATATTTTAATGATTAACACCCGGTTTCTGAAAGGCTTGTCAACGCTAAAATTAACTAATCTCCTGTTAAATCTTTTGTCAAATCATCTGATTGGTTGTTGATAATTCAGTCAACCAATCCAATCAGATGACTTGACAAGAGATTGAATTGATTTTAACATTGATCGACCTTTCGAAACGGGGCATAATTGTTTTAGAATTTTAAAAATAATTTATTTCTGATCTTTATTCAAATTATTTTTTTCCGGTCTGCAAACAAATCAATTGTTACAAATTTGATGCATAATATAACAAAATTAAATAAGGGCTTTTCTTTAACATCTGGTGAGTCCAAAATTACTATAAGAAAAATAAATAATTATTTACTTATGTCCAAAATCCAAAAGCACGCCGAGACCGGTAACATATTTATTTATTTATTTATTTATTTATTATAGGCTTCTCAACAATGAGTACACTATACTATATAATTTGTACATTTCAAACTTAATTCTAAGTGCCCCATTACTTATAGAGAAGCACAGCATGCACTATAATATTATGCGAGGGTAGTAAAATAATTAATCGATTTTGAATAAATAATACATTATCAGAAAAGTTAAATTGAAGCTGAATTGATTACAAAAAATAAAATCTTAATTAGATACTTAACACACAAAATTAAATTAAAATTAAGTAAAATAGATTAGATTTTAAAAATTAAATTAAATTAAATTTAATTTAAAACAATTAAATTTGACTAATTGATTAGAGGTACCCATTAGATAGCAAGCAATATTTACACAAAACGAGAAATGAAAATTCACACCAAGTCCAACACTCATTTCATGTTCCTTTTCCCTCTTCAGCACGACTCCGGAGGTCCAGCAGTGAGAGACGGCGTTCTCCTCGGCATCGTCTCATTCGGTGGCAAGCAGTGTGGTGACCCTCGCTCCCCTGGAGTCTACAGCAGAGTTTCCGAGATCACCGAGTGGGTGGAAGACACTATCACCAGCAACGAAGCCAATACAGTTCCTGAACTGCTGCCCAAGATCCAGAAGGCGAGGCAAAGGGAGAAGGAACTGCAGAAGTAAGTTGAAACATTATCTTAAGTATAAATAATATATATAAGATGTATGAAGTCTGATACATTAGATGTATTTAGCTGTGTGTGTGCGGTTAACTGAGGCCCAGTCCTTGTCCAAAAATGTCGGCAACGCACTCGTAACTCTTATTGTGTCCATGGGCGACGCTGATTACTTACCATCAGGTAATACCCAAGCTCATTTGCTGAATTGTCCCATAAAAAATAGTGGGCGGTTTCGATGTATTTGATGAAGTCAAAAATTCATAATTCTTTTTTGGTTTCAGTAATGATGATACTGATTAAAATTGGTACTTGTTTTTTTTTTTCATTTCTATCATGGTTACTCCACTTGTGTAGTTTTACAAACTCATAATTTCATACACATCATTGATGAAAAATCAATAAAATAGAATTTGCAAGTACAATATCTAAACACACAAAAGATTGTCGGTGTGAGAATCTAACTAGCAACACGTTGCCTGGCAACCAGTTGCTCAATCATTTCACTAAGATTGCGATCTACGTTTTTTTTTATGTGATAGCTCGGCAAACGATCTTACGGATTACCTGATGGTAAGCAATCAGCGTCGCCCATGGACTCCCATAACAACAGAGGCTATAGGTATTTGGAGATTGAGAGATTCGGGAGGGGTTGGAGGAGGAGAAAGATTGGGCCTCTGGTAACCTCACTGACACGGCAAAACACTACGCTGTGGTTGTTTTCTGTGAGGCAGTGGTATCAGTTCAGTCGAGTTGACCCGTTCGTTCCGAAGCATGGCTCTCCCACTCTTAAAACGGTGACCTGAGATGATAAGGTTGCTATCCTTGCCTGATAAGCCTCAAATAAACCGTACCTAATGATGAAACTGTACCATAATTATGTGACTGATCTCACAGTAAATCTACCAAACCAGCACCTTCTTACAAACTTCTGTATTACAGATTTAAAGCAAGAGTTGAAGACAAGAAAAACAAAATAAAAACGTGGCTCCGCGAAACTTTGAAGTCACCAACGTTCATAGAATTAGCGAAAAAGAAATTGAAAGAAGCCGGCTTTCATACAAGAAGGACGAATGATTATGAGACGCTAAATGTGAGTAGCCTTGATGATAAAATGATAGATGAAATTAACCTAACAAATATGATTAATGATAGAATAATAGACGATGGAGACGGTTCGGAATCGGATAAGTTACTAATAACTTTGGCATTGCACGAAGTCATGTTAAATGATAAGAGCACGGAGATCTTTGCTCCCAGGACGTTGCCAGAAGTTGACAGTGAGAGTGCCGAGAGCTTTATAGCCTATATTAGCGGGAGAGGATAAATAAATATTGTTAACAAAGTGCTGCATTTTCATTTAAGTGAGTCAATGTTATATTTGATAACAGCGCCATCTATGAATTATTTTGTGAGACTTGTACAAATTAGATTCAGTGTTAAAACTCACTCACAAATCTGCCATATACCATTAGTACGAATTTGAGCTGATGCAACGTAATTAATATAAATACGAACTGAAGAATGTGAATATGAACATTTTGATTTCATGTGTAAATTTTTCCCTGTACTCGGAAACTAACTTCCCAACGCAATGTTTCAACTACTCCATAACAGATGGCGCAACCTAAGTAGTGTAACTATTTGACAATAGATAGCGATAGTAAGCCAACTTATAAATATATAAACCTCTTAATTTTTAAATAATATTCATAAATATTAAATACACAGTCAAAAAGCAGTTGTTTTATTGATTATTTTTAAACTTTAATGTAGATAATAAGTACAAAAACGGGTCACAAAAATATTTTGTGTTTTTCTAAAATGTTGGATTGTTGCATAATAAGCATAATTAATGCTTATATAAACGGCACAGGTCAAGCCGATCTTCAAGTCGCAACTTCGTACGTGGCGCCAAATATTAGGCTCAACCCAGCAACGCCACTTAACAAGAAGTGCTTCTATATGGGCAACAAAATAATTCTAAGATTAGGTACGTACCTACAAAGACAGCTACCTATTTACTTATGTATAAATATGAAATACACATTATAAAACGAATACTAAGCAATGATAACAGTAATTATTGTAAGGGAACCATGCTTCAGCACGAATGGGCCGGCTGGACCGAATGGATACCACGGTCCGCAGAATACCGAAGTGAAGCAACGGTCGCGTTGTGTTTCGCCGTGTACTTCTCGCTTTATCCCGTAAAAGAAAATTACCTATGTATTCGAGTCTGTCTCTTAATTAACAAATATTGAAATACAGATTTGGTGCAAGATCTTTGCAGATTAATATGTTCTATTAATAAAATCAATTCAATACCACTTTTTTAGATTTACAATGATCAATGTTTATTTATTTATTTGGATATTATTATGCAATTTAAACTACACCTAGATGAATTGTGTTATCATTATTATAAGTAAAATGGGTTGTTTAAGACGTTTTTAGTTTTTTTTACCTGCCTAGTTAGGTACCTACGCCTAGAAGGAATATAATGGTTCTGATATATATATATACCCACCTATGTATTTTTATAATTGGAAAAAACCATATTAGAAAGACAGCATAAGTTGTTTTTGTAGCAGTGGTATTCTCAAAAAGAAAAACACATAATATTTATAAGTTACGTCATTGGGATATTTTTGATTAACTGAATAATTATAATATTTATACTAATAAAACTATACATACATTAAAAGACCTATAAAAATGTATATGCATATGAAACTATAAGGTGGTCCCTTAGTTTTTAATTGGGACCACACATTGTAAACACTGCCATACGGAAGGGCTCCATAACTAAACCAAAACTTAAACGACATTTTAATAATCTAATTTAACTAATGATCTATTGTTAAAAATTAATAACTGCAATTTAATTATTTTAATCCATACGTTAAACTGCTATAAACCAGTTAATGAAAGAAGTTAAAATAACCGGTAAAATAACTAGTCGATGTGTCACGCATGTACCAGGAGCGCAGAAATTGCGAGAAATGTACTTAATGATGTTGCCGGCTATCATCATGATGGGTATTAGAGGTAAGTATGTACTTAGCAAATGTCATGTGTAGTGGGTACAAAATGAAACTAATCTTTATTCTAATGATAAATGCTATGAGAAACATTTAGTATTAAGGTAGACAATTTACACTGATAAATTATAGCCAGCTACGGACATTGTGTAAATATTAATAATTAGTTATAATAGCCAAATATTAATTCAAAGGTCCTATCATCTTTTGGAAAGTTGTAAAATGAATCCCATTAAGGTCGCAAATTGATCCTCCTCCTCTGCGATTCTAATATCCTAGTACCCAAAATGTAAGGCTACATATGTATGTATAAACCTGAGCAGACGGCTCGCTCGGCTCTTTCTCGCCGTGTACGCCTCAAAGGGCCATTAGTCCACCACAGACGGGGCCCTATAGGGCTGATGCTCAGCCGGGGTTGCGGGGTAAGCGCAATAAGGCATCGCAACATAGGCCCAGAGCAGGAGAAGGAACGGGGGTTTTTAGTCATTAAGAGTCTGACGCTCCTTCCCGCCATAGCCTGGGCGAAAAAAGTCATTTGATGATTTTCCTTATTCAAAAAAGGCTACAAAATATAAAAGATACAGGAAAATAGGTAGCACTAATCATCAAGCTTCAAGCAAACAAGATGGCATCCACTCAAGTGTGAAGTGTCGAAGCAATTTATGTAAATATCAATTAGATTATATAAAACTTTTCATATAATGTCTTCAAACTAAGTAAGTAGCCTTATGTAATCAACTTCAATAAAATTGAGAATATAAACTGCTCTAAAATAAAGATTCTTTCAAACTGTAAATAAAAGATTATGTCACTTTCTTTCGACACTAGCTGCTTTCGCGCGGTTTTATGGATGGCAACTCGCTGCAAAGCTCCATTTGATCGTAGCGTGATATTTTATTATCCTATAGCACTCAGGAACATTGTAGCTATCTATCAGTGAAAGAATTTTGGCAATCAGACCAGCGGTTCCAAAGACTACTCCCTACATACAAACTTACAAGTTTTACCACTTTATAATATTAGGTATTTCAAACAAAAAAAATTGAGTTACATTTTATGTATGTGAACTTTACATAAGTGTGGGAGAGCTATGTTTCTGTAGGAATGGATAATCCGGACTTAGAGACATCCGGCGTGAAACAACTCTTACGTTGTGTTTCCGGAGATTACCTGATATTGTTCTCCTTCCCCCATCCCTCCACAATCCTCAAATCCCCAAAACCCCAAAATTCCGGCAACACACTTGTGACTCCTCAGATGATGCGAGTGTTCATGGGCGGCGCCGATTGTTTACAATTTACAAAAACCTTAATGTCGATCTTATAAATTGACTTTCTATCTTTCAATTAGTTGTTGTTCAGCCGGGATAGGCTGGTTTTTAGTCAGTAAGAGTTTGATCTCCCCCTCCCTCCATGTAGGGTGAGAGAAGTCATTTGATGATTTCTTGCCTCTAGTCTGTAAAAAAAAATGCAGTACCTTTGTATGTCTAATATTATAAAGAAGTAAAATTTATAAGTTTGTATGTAGGGGGTAATCGTTGGAACCGCTGGTCGGATTGCCAAAATTCTTTCACTGATAGATAGCTACAATGTTACTGAGTGCTATAGGCTATAAAATATCACGATACGATCAAATGGAGATGAGCAACGGGTGAAACCGCACTGGATTGGCTAGTCTGGTATGAATGTCCTATTTGTGAGTATATAATAAAAAAAAAGAAATAAAGCTAACACAGACTCGGCACTACACTTAACCATAACCTTTTTACTTACCTACTTCTGAAAATTTATAAAAAATGGTGACCAATTTGAAATTTGTGTGTCGTTGATCTGGTTCATACTTTTACATAATCTTCGTGAACAATCAGTTTATCGAGTTACCACTATTATACAACTCGGTAAGATACTGAAATCGATTCTTTTCATCTCCGAATCGATTCACTTAACTGAGCGTTACAATAAAAAAATCGTGTCATGTTTCTCAGTTTTTACATCATTTTCACACTGAAAATTTAAGTGGTTTAACCCAATCAATGAGGATGTGGTTTTTATTAGTTTTTGGGTTGAATAATCAGCTTTTCAGTTTCAGCAGTGATGCATTTCAGGTTTTGGGAAATTTCTATGTAATTTAACATCACGTTTGTAGTTTTTAAAGCGGTTTTTAGAGGTATGTAGCAATGGAATAGATTTCGAAAAAAAGTATACGATCTAGTGCTGAATCCGCGGCTATCGATGTTATTGTTCAGTTGCATCATATTAAGGAATTGAACTTAAAAAAAGTAAATCCTTTAAGTGTAAAAGAGCTATGCTTCGGCACGAATGGGTCGGCTCGACCGGAGTGGTAGCAATTCCTCAGAAAACCTGCGTGAAACACAACGCCGTGTCGCTGTGTGAGTAAGGTTACCAGAAGCCCAGTTCTTACAATCTCTCCAGCCCTGTACTATCTTCAAATTCCTAAATCCCTTAACCTAAATAGCGGCTTCACGCTTGCCAATCTTCTGGTGTTCCAGTGTGTTTGGGCATCATTTGTGGAACCACAGAACTACAATGTCTACCCGTTTGGCGTAATGAACGACTGACTGCTGCGCAACGTGTTTTGGCACAACTCTTTGTGTGATCCACAAATTTCCGGAAATTTCCGAATTTGTATGTCTGCAAACACACACATAGCACAGAAAAACATACACTAGAGTAGGGCCACGTTCTAAAATAAAATTAAAAAATACAAAAGGTTTTGTAGGTTTTATCTGCATGGTAGTGTTAGCCTGATTAAACAGGTATAATCTATTGGTTTCATACACGAGTCGGACAACACAGAAAGTGGTGATGCATTGCATGTTTCCATCTGTTTTGTGAGGAGCCAAATCATGCAATTAGTGCCGAGAGAGGAAAACCACCTGATTACTCCTCATGCTTCACTTTACCCGCCACCCCAGCTCTGGCTGGATTCGATCCTGCCTCACCTCAAAGAGCCAATAAACCATCACAGACGGGCCCCTATAGGGCTGATGTTTAGCCGGGGTTGCTGGGCAAGCTTAATGAGGCACCGCGGCCTTGGCCTAGAGCAGGAGAAGGAACGGGGGGTTTTTAGTCGGGAGTCTGATTTCTGGCTTCACCTTGGGCGGGACAAGACATTTGATAATTTTCCGCTGACAAAAAAAGTCACATTAGATGCTGAGAGACCTACCTGGTGACCTTTGCCAACCCTGTTGGTGAATAAAAGTAACTTATTTAAGAAGCGTTTAATTTTTTATCGTAAAATTTTCCACTGAAACAAAAGCAGTGGATAGAATGTGAGTCATTAATTAACTCAAGCGAACTAAATCTAATTGACACACTAACACTCGAGGTACAAGTTAAAAAATGCAAATAATTTAATTACGTAGTTTTGTTTCTGTATTAATTTAATTTAACTGATGCATTCTTGACTGCACACTTGGCGCGGTAGCTGGACAACTGGATGCCCCGCAACGTTTCGCGGGTTCGATTCGCGCACGGACAACTCTTTGTGTGATCTACAAATTGTTTTCCCGGGTCTGGGTGTCTATGTTTGTAAACGGACCCACGAAACAGGAGAAAATAAAAGTGTGCGGTAACAGTTTTTCTTAAAGATAATAATTATGCTTTAGTAGTTCTTCAAATACATGAGGGAAAAATCATCAAATGACTTCTCCCACCAAGAGTGAGACAAGAGGGAGTGTCAGACTCTTACTGACTAAAAAACCCGTCCCTTCTCGTACTCTGGGCCGAGTCCGCGGTGCCTTATTGCGCTTATCCCGCAACCCTGGCTGAATATAATATACTTACACTAAACTTAATGAGTAACCCTGTCGATGGTTATAAGCCACTGGTATCTTTAAGTAGGCTTCTGTTTCTTTATGGAGTAGGGGCAAATGTTCTAATGGACCTCTTGATGGTAAGCAATTAGCACTGCTCATTTAGACCCGCAACACCAAATGCAGTTCGTTGACGGTCTATCAAAGAGGAGTACATCCTTCTCTTAAAGGTATGAATGTCTTTTCCGTTTGAAAATAAACGAGGAACTAGCGCTCTCTGATAAACCTGAACCTCTTAAACTATGACCTAGAACACTGCAAGCCTGGTAAACTAAATAATGGCACACCTATTTAACATGTTATAGAACATCTGTACCGATGCTAAATTGTCATAGGTTTTTTTTTGTGAGGGGAAAATCATCAAATGACTTCTCCCGCCCAGGGTCGGGCGGGAGTGAGTGTCAGACTCTTACAGACTAAAAACCCTCCTACCCCCGTTCCTTCTCCTGTTCTGAGCCGAGACCGTGGAGC